AACAATTATTGGACGATGAAGAGAAAGGGAGGAATAGAGGAAACGACCTGTTAAAGAGAAAGCCAAACACTAAACAAAATTGAAAGGTAGAGAATGAAGAGAGCAGAAAAGGATCCGTAGTTCGGAAAGGAGAAATTAATGAGAAGAATTGGAATAATTGAAAAAGAGGGGCGGGAACAGGCATGGAGAGATGAAGTGATATAAGGATGGATGAACAGGGACAGGGAGGGATAAAGAAGTTAACGGTATAGGAGGGAGGGACAGAGAGGAGTGAAGGGAGAGAGAGGGATGAAGGGACAGAGTAAGAGGATAGAAGAATAGAGGGATGAATTGGGACAGGGAGGGATGAAGAGGGACATAGATGGATGAAGAGGGACAGAGAGTGATGAACATGGACAAAGAGGGATGGACAGGAACAGAAAGGGATGAAGAAGGACAGGGAGGGATGAACAGAGACAAGGAGGGATGAACAGGGACAGGGAGGGATGAAGGGACAGAGAGGGATGAAGGGACAGGGACGGCTGAGTAGAGAGGTTATGTCGTGACTGAAGGAAGACGTTATGTCTCTCATAAGTGCAGGGGAGGCTGCCTAACCACCGCGACAGGGCTTGGCGCATCCAACGAGAAGAATCGCTGGGAACTGAGTACAAAATATCCTCGAGGCTCTCATTGCATTACGGAATATGAAATCAACAGAAGTTATCGAAAAAATATAACTCAGTGACAAATATAACTCAGTGTCACTAAGTGGGTGATAGATAGAGCATTTTATCGTCGACGAAAACGTGAAGGCACGGACGGACAGACAGATGGATGGACGAACAGAGGTCAGACAGACAGACGGACAGACGGACGGCAGACAGACGGACAGACGGACGGCAGACAGACGGACAGACGGACGGACGGACGGACAGACAGACGGACAGACGGACGGACAGACGGTCGTAGTGCGCACAATAGTGCATTTTTTCATAAATGAGAAAATGCGTTAAAAATATCGTGGTGAAATTTAGGCCAAGATATCTCACCTTAGTATATGAATTTTCTGCAGTAGACAAACTTGGAGGAGCTGGGAAAAAAATTGTGACCTCTATATCAGGTCCAAAAGTCTGAAAATGATTTAAAAATTCTAAAAAAAAAACATCTCTTGTGCGTGCAAAATAGTTTGTAGTAATTTGCAGTCGACTATATTAAAGATAAAAATTACCGTTGACTCGTGTTTAACTTCTTTTACAATGAAAAATGTTGCAAGAAATGCTTTCGAATTTTGAAAAATGAAGAAGGAATGATATAATTATGAGCTCATTCGTGGAATGCATGTATAAGAGGTATTTTAATAATTACGGGTATTATAGTTTCCTTGCATGAACATATAAAACGAATGGATCCTAAATTGATTATATTTTACAGCGGTTTACAGACAAGTGTATTCAGACTGTAATGACAAATTGAAATGAAAGTTTCATTTTAACCGATGTATTCCAACCTTTAGTTGGTTGCAACCATCCCAGGCGATGGTCTTTACGTTTTCTGACTATAGTTTATTTCACACAAGTTCATGGCCAAAGAAAACTGTTTAAACGTAAGGAGAAAATTAATTTCAATGAACAGAAAACATATATTCGTCAACAAAGTCACAGGCCTCCAGCCACAGCTGTCATATTGGCCTCAAGCCGTAGCTATAATTATGGAGAAAATGCTATATTTCTAGGGCCCAAAACCACTGTCACAGGTCGGAATCAGTTTGCAATTTAGATCTGCAAAATTTAAGATAGACAATTGCGTATAGTACTAATTCCTATTACAAATTGATATCAGACATTGTAGCTTAATACTAACACAATGTGTTAGAGTAATATACATTTTGTCAGTATAGTAACCTAAACTATGTACTATATATTAGTACTATTAGTAATTATTTCTAATAGTAGTAATACTAATAATAGTAGGAATACTATTCATTAGTATTAGTAATTGTAGTATACTATTTGTCATAAATGTGTTTCTCGTGATTTTTTTTTAAACTTGCATAGAATAATTTTTTTACGTTGGGAATAATTTAAAGTTTGATAATTTTTTGATGCAGGAAATGGAAGGTTGACCGACTCACTGTCAGATTAAAAGGCCATGAGAAGCTAAGCGTTCCACTTTCAACTTTTAAGACCAGAAGTCTGTGTGCTTACAAGTTGGGCAAGCTTATTATGCAACTCAAAAGCTAGTTCCTTGAATCAACCTTTCACACCGACGGGACAACTTTTTTATCTTATTCAGGCACGATATTCTGGGACCGATATCAGGCAACCATTGCAGTTTATTGCAAGTCATCCACAGACACGCGAAAAATGCTGTATTTTTATGATAACTGTAATTCATTGCGTGTGACTCTCTGAGGTTTATAAACTATTAAATTAAGATCCTTTGAAAATATTTCTCCAGTACTTTGAATGGTCCTAGTTTCCATATCGCTGCACAATTCCAGGAACCCATGATAAATTCATGGAATTATACCACACATTTCGATCTATCTGATCTTCGAAGGATTTTTCAAAATTATAGTTAGTATAAAATGAGAATTTTATTGATCAATCGATGTACGAGTTTTCAATATATAATAAATGTTGAGTCATTCATTATCACCTCATCTGTCAATATGTGCCAAAAAGTTAGATACTTGGTCAGAAGCCAAAGAATTCTTATCTATCAAGCGTAGTTCAACTGAGACAAAAAATTATCATTTTGATTTGAACATTTTTGAAGATGAACATTTTTGACCACCATATTGGGGATGAGATATACCCATCGGCTGAAAATATGCTAATAAAATCGTTAGGGTTTCAATAAATACAAGAGGTAATGTTAGATACATGTCTTCTCGCTCTCATCATAAAATGTGAGATATGGAGAGACAAAATGTGACCCATCAAGTCAGTAAACCTGCATATGGTCCCTAAATTTTCGGCAAAATATTTTGTTGATTTTTTTGTCTCCTTTCTACGTATTTCTCGAATTTTAGATCAAAGTAATCTGTTATTGCAAGTAATTCTCAATAAAATAAAAAAAACACACCATGTCAATCAAAGAGCGACCTCTGAGTGGGTCAAAGAGATCGAACTCCGTTCAGAATTTGGCCTGACAATTCCTTGTTCATTGACGCCAGTGCAGCTGTAATAACGGAGACCCTGATGATATTGTGTTCGTTCTGTTCAATTTCATCGTTCTGTGTCCGTTCTGTTCACAGATGCAAACTAATCGGTTTCCTCGTATGCAGACTCAGCGGCTACCACAGTACAGACCAATCGGTAGCCACAGATTCAGATTCACACATTTATGCAGACTCAGCGGCTACCGCAGTGCAGACCAATCGGTAGCCACAGATTCAGAGTCACACATTTATGCAGACTCAGCGGCTACCACATGTACAGACTCATCGATAGCCACAGATTCAGATCCACACATTTATGCAGACTCAGCGGCAATAACAGATTCGACTCATCAGTCACCACGGAATTAATGCATCACATTATACGATCAAATCGGTAACCGCCGCAGACGCTGCCCCGTATCATGTCACTTGTATCGTGCCAGGCGCCGATATATCAGCCACATTTCACAACATGGGATCATGTACACCGACCAGAAATCGACGCACAGTTAACAAAAAAGCCCAGGGTTCAGCTGGCGCAAAAAAGCAGTGAGAGTACTGAGAGTTGGCAGGAATATCCTTCAATAATTCCGGTTATCTCGGCAGGACCTGTCCCTTGCTGCGGCCAATCGCAGTCCCGCTTCACTTTCTTATCCTTTGGTCGAGGTCCTGCTGCTGGCACAGCCTCATTGCCTTATTGTTTCTTGTGTGGTGGTGTAGTGAGGTGGTGTGGTGGGGTATAGTGTGGTGTGCTTGTTTCTTGGTGTGATGGTGTGGTAATGTAATGTGGTGGTGGATATGTGGTGCAATGGTAGGTATATTGGTGTAGCGTGGTTGTAATGCGTTGGTGCATTATAGTATATGGTGTGGCACAATGATGTAGTGTGGGGTATAGTGTAGTGGTGTCGTGTGATTGTATTTTAATGACTGTAGTGCGGTGTTGTAGTATAGGATGTGTTTTGGTGACGTATCGGGTTGTGGTGCAGTGTATTATGGTGATGCGATGTGGGAGATGTGATAAGGTTGTGGTGGTGTAGCGGTAAAGTCCGGTCATGATGGTGCAGAGGATTGGTGTAGTAAAGTATAGTGTGATGAGGGCCAGGGTTGCTCATGCAGTAGTGATGAGAGACAATCCAAGCGTGAAAGCCAAAATAAAAGTTAAACGAAGAAATTGAGTGATTTTGAACTGATATTTGCTGCTACGATCTTTTTTTGGCATGAGTCACGTATATTTAATTCCGAAGACAATTTAATTTTAGCGTATAAATATACCGGTTAGGCAGGTACTAAATTAATTTCGAAATAATGAGTAGGGTGAGCATATTAGATGATCGATGATGACAATTCAAATTTTTCAGTTCAAATTTCTGCATGACCTATCGTGCACAGGGCAAATTAAAGTAAAAGTTTTAATTAATGTTCTTGACTAAAATTTAAAAATAAAATCAATTATTCACGTAAGTTTAACTGATGAAAATTATTTAATTCTCATTTAAAAAATTAATTAATTATTCTCAATTCAATACACATTATTGTCCGAGAAACTTGGATTCTGCAGTTTGTCTTGCATCCCAACTAACAGCGTATAAGCTTCCATACTTTAAAACATTTCCACATTCTACTCGGAAGCTTTCGCCTTCGAATAAATATGGAATTAAGATATGCGAATCAAAACTTAAATACATGCAGTTCAAATATCGTTCTAAATATATTTTTAATTAGTAATTTAAATTAATGATATTCCATGTATATATATGATATTTAATTCTGGTAATCAAAAATTTCATTGCATTTGTTATCCCTAAAATATAAAAACATGATGAAATGAGTTTAAGAATTTTTTTTTATTCCAGGCACTAAAATATGAAGAATGTGACATTATCCCAAATGCAGACAATTTTGCTAATAACGAATTAGAGCACAACTAGTGAACGCATCCACAGTGAAGACAAAATCAAGTTATCAGTGCAACCAAACAGCACCAGCACCATGCAGTCCATAGGTGAGTGGGTAGATGGTACTTATACATCTAGATGGTAGAACTTATGCATCTAGTTGAAAGATGTTACTTATACGTACTTGTATGTACACACATATCTGTAGTTAATACATTCACACAAGATTTTGCATCTCAGATCTGGGATCTGCTATACACAAGGCAAGCATGCATGATAGCCACAAAAGATATTTCATAGCTACAGATTTGATTGCGGAACGAGATAATACTCGTTTAATCATAAATAAGCTATAATGATGCTCTTATCATAAATAAGCCAAGTTAATTTATTAATATAAGATCAAAGTGATCATAAAATATGCTAGTATTGATGAATTTTTTATTTTGTTTCCCGAGGCTGTGCAGTCCTTCATAAAATTTATTCCTTGAGTAGTATAATTAATGACGGTCCCAGAGATGATTGGTGTTCAGTTGATAGGATGCATGCAATTAAACGAGAGCATCAGATAATTGAAAACGTTTAATAGTTCCTACCATTCTTTTGTGATAAGAGCATCAGTAATTTTCTTGTTAGTAGCTTGAGCGCATCGAACTTCACCTAAAGGACTAAAGAACTAGCAGCGTTCCTGCTAGTCCCCTAAAGCTTAACGTACTTCACCTAAAGAACTAGCTGCGTTCGTGCTAGTCCCCTAAAGCTTAACGTACTTCACCTAAAAGACTAGCAGCGTTCGTGCTAGTGCCCTAAAGCTTAACATACTTCACCTAAAGAACTAGCAGCGTTCGAGCTAGTGCCCTAAAGCTTTACATACTTCACCTAAAGAACTAGCAGCGTTCGAGCTAGTCCCCTAAAGGCTAACACACTTCACCTAAAGAACTGGCAGCGTTCGAGCTAGTCCCCTAAAGGCTAACACACTTCACCTAAAGAACTGGCAGCGTTCGAGCTAGTCCCCTAAAGGCTAACATACTCCAACTAAAGCACTAGCAGCGGTCGAGCTAGTCCCCTAAAGCTTAACACACTTCACCTAAAGAACTGGCAGCCGCCGAGCTAGTCCCCTAAAGCTTAACATACTTCACCTAAAGAACTAGCAGCGTTCGTGCTAGTCCCCTAAAGCTTTACATACTCCACCTAAAGACCTAGCAGCGGTCGAGCTAGTCCCGTATGGCGTCAGCTTCAAGACGCGGTTTCTGGTGACACTAACAAGTCATTGTGAGTCAACTCGGGAATTAATTCTGCGCATCAGCGACTCAGTAGATCCTTATCTGCTTTTAAGGGACTTTAATAAGTAATAAAAAGTCAGTTGTAGCTCAATTTGGTTTTTGAGCGGAGCCTATTATGCTAATTTATTTTTATTTGTGACGTTAATTGGACTTGGAATGTCCAGTTAAGCATAAATTGGTGCCTAGCCGCTCAAAGGTGCTGTTAATAAAGCCAAGATTTTCATTTAAGGTGTAAGAAAAGTAGGTGTATTGCAGGAATTTTCTTGCTTCTCATGTATCAACAGTATATACTCACCGATTCACTGTGGGCCAAATGTTTTCTGGTCAATCTGGTAGGATGAAGCCTATTGCTTACATAGGTTCATGATCTATGTGGTTACATACATTATAGCCTCGTCATATGTTGGGATATATACACGATTTGCTGCATGGAAGAAGAATTAAATTCTGTAGCCGCGATGCGTCAATATCTAAGTCTTATATAATTTCAAACTAAATGAACGTAAGCGAAAGACGCTCCTACCCAACGTCGTGCAAGCAGTTTTCGGAACACGAGATCTGAGAGCGATCGTTAGATGTAATTACTTCGCAATCGAGAAACAACTAACTATTGTTGGCTTCCAGTGGGCCTATACTTTCAAAAAAAGTTAAGAGATCGTAAGTTCATCAGCCAATCATTGACGGTATATCGAGCAAAATCCACCAATCATTGATAAGAAAATAGGTCGTAAGTACTTACGTTCACTTAGCGAGTTTTGAAAGTATGGCCCTGTAGTAAGTTTTATCGAAAAATTTTCAAAGTTAAGATTATTCGATGGAAGGGTTCACGTGGAAGGCATGTTTAGAGAATAGAAAGGGTTCGACTACAAGTATGTAGTGTAAACAAATAACGCTTAAAATGTAGTTTATAACCTGCCAGCTATTTACACGTGAAAGCACGTGTAAATATACGCAAATGTAGAAACGCGGCGATGATAAATATTGATAATTCAATAATCTTTTTGAAATCCACTGATGATACAGATGACTAGGTCATTCACATATTTAAAGAAAAATTTTAGACAAATATAAATATTTCACTTGAGAAGAATAACAGTGAATAAATTAAAAAAATTATCAAGCCATAACATGATGCTGAACATTTGTAGAATCAACAGTAAATTGTATTGTCAGCAGTATACTGCATTCTCCATTGTGTACTTCAAGATATGTATACTGTATTTTCAACGGAATCACAGAGGTTTAGAATAAGCATAATGAAGAGAAACGAAGGAATGTTTTGGCATACGAAAAAATTTACTAATTTTATCATTAATTTCCTAATTGGCTTACTTCTAGTTAACACTTGCGGAAAATTAAAAGGAATCAGAGATTAGCGCAGGAAGAGTTGAAGACTGCTGGTGTAACGGTAGCGACCAACTGAAAACATCGCACGACGTTAATCAGGCTTACAAATACACAATTCTTTATTCCAGGCTAGATATTTTTCTAAAGTCTAGGCAATAAGCAGCACCGTCATACCTTGAAAAAAGCATGAGCAGCATTGGCATACCTCAAAGAAAGCAGTGAGCAGAACCACCATACCTTTAAAAAGGTAATGAGCAGCATTGACATACCTCAAAGAAAGCAGTGAGCAGCACGTCAAAGAGCAAACTATATTAAGAAAGAAAATGCACACACTCGAATTTCGAAATAAATAAGTTATTTGCTGCATTTGGAGTTGACCGAAAAACTTCTCCGATGGTACACTCAATAATTGTAACCTGTTAAGCTGATCTAAATTGAAAAAATACTTCAAATTACAAAGTTTCAATCTCAAGTTTATTTTTTAATGTCCAAAGTTAACCAAAAAAGTTATTGAATCAGTAGAATCAAACTGAACGTATTTTTCAATTGAAACCGAAAAGAAATTGCCTCGTATCTTCTCTGAAGAGACCGTATGTCGGCAGTAGAAGCCAGACTTTCATCCTTAGGGGCTGAATAAATTGCAGGACCGTGTTTTAAAGGCCAATCCTTCAGACCACCAGACCTGTCCTTATTGACAGAAACCTGTCCTAGTCGATCCTCAAACTGCAGCTTGCTGCGACTTCTCTATTTTCAGAATCATATGTTGCCTCTGTACTTCTAACCAAACTTGTTATCCTCTTTGCATTATTTTTTAATCTAAACCGAAATTTGTGTGGCTTTTTATCTGTATGATTTTTTATGTGAAAAAACTTCCCACGATGCGGCAAAATTCAACTTCGGTTGTTTGATAGATTTATTACGGAATTTGCTTGAAAGATTATTTTCAAGCGTTATTCACTAACACACAGTTTGCTAAAAAACATAATAATCTGCAAAAACATTAATCATTACTAACACAACGACTTCAGAACGTTTCTATTAACATGCCTCACCACGACCAATGCTCAAAGGCCTATAGTATCTACTGCTATTAATAAGATAACGACTCGACAACGATTTAAAAACCACACTATTGCTAGTATTCGGAGGCCACACCACATTCAATATCTAAAGGCCATATTTTATGGTCACTATTTAAATACCACACTATTTAAGTATTTAAGGACAGTATTATATAAAGGTCCGCTATTTTAAAGACTAAACTTCTGCCGCTATTTGAAGGATGCGCTAAGGCTCGCCGCATTTGAAGGCCGCCTTAAGGGTACTACTTAAAAGACCGATATGATTTAAAGACCACTCAGAGGCCAGGACTGGAGGCAGGATAAGCTGGCGGCTCACAAGACATGCTAATATCCTGCATATCAAACCAAGGCTTCACTTTCTATTCTTAAGACTGAGCCTCGCCTTATATGTCCCGCACTCCAGATGATTCACTTCTTCTTCGTATCTGAATTGAGCTTTGATTGCGAATTGTTGTTATTTTTTATAATAGTAGATGAGAATGTATTGTTGTGCTGAATCATGAGAACCTCAAATGTAATTGCGTTAGAGCAAAACTTGCTGTAGGTGATGGAACAATGCGCGTCAACTTTTACTTGACGGAAAATAGTTATACTAGTAACATAAAATGATTAAAAATGGATTAAATATTTCAATATATTATTAGTGGGGAACAAAAACATGAGTAAAAATACTCCACGGAATTTCTTTCGTGGACAGATATATTATACTAGACTGCGTTCATTATACTGGATTACGTATATTATTCTAGACTGCATATATTATACCAAACTTCGTATATGATACTAGATTGCGTATATATCACTAGACTGCGTATGCTGGACTGCGTATATCATACTAGACTGCGTATATTTTATAGACTGCGTATAATATGCCAGACTGCGTATAATATGCTAGACTGCGTATAATATGCTAGACTGCGTATACTGCTAAACCCAATCATATAGCAATAATGAATACGCATATTTTACTTGATTTTATTGTTGTAACGTGAATGAATTTCGTGATAAGAACTTTTAGCGAACTAACCATCTATTACGAGATTTTTGCACATATATTCCGCACTATGAATATTTCTTCAGGATAAAGGTTATGCATTATTCATGGCTTTTGCGCAGTAATAACAAACAATAATTATCAACTTGCTTCTGATGAAAGCAATTAAGGCACCGCAGAATATTGCCTCGCTACACCAACAAATTATTGACTATAATATTGATAATTCCTTGCAAGTGGAACTGTAGGTAAATTTCCTGGGAGAGATGAATCAGATCCCAGATAATTAAAAATAAAAGAAGAGAATAATTAAGACAACAAATCGGTTGAAAATCTAAGAAGAAGATCGGCATGATCAGTTAAGCTTGTTTAATTCACGCCAGAAAAAAAAACATATTTTCTGA